GCGCCTCGCCGGGTTGCGCCGCGCCGTCGTGGACCAGCAACGCCACGAGCACGCCGCGGAGCGCCCGCGCGGCCGTCGCGGGCGCGGCGGAGGCCGCGCCGCGGCCCGCGAGCGCGCCGAGCGCGGCGCCGAGCGCCGCGCGGCACGCGGCGCCGCGGACGCCGCCGGGCTTCGGCAGGGCCGCCACGAGCGCGCCGACGGCGCCGACGGCCTCGCCGTCCTCGTCCGACGCCAGCCGCGTCGCCGCGACGGCGAGCGCGCGTTCCAAAGCGTCGCGGCGGCTCGCGTCGCCCGCGGCGCGGCTCCGCGCCGGCGCGCCCTTGAGGCCCGCGGCGACGTCGCGGCAGGCGCCGAGCCAGACGCGCCAGCAGTCGCCGCGCGACGACGCGGGCGCGCAGCCGTCGAAGCACTTGGCGCCGTCGGGGTCGAGGAGCGCCGCGTCGAGGAAGAAGCCGTAGTCCGCCGCGTCGTCGCTCTCGACGGCCGCGAGCCGCGGCGCCTCGGGCCGCCGCGAGAAGGCCGCGACGCGCGACAGCGCCTTGCAGAGCTTCGACCGGCACTCGTCGACGCGCGCGCCCTCCTTGGCGTCGTCGCCCGGGATTGGCGGCCGCGCGGCGAGCGCCGCGCGGAGCGCCTTGCGCGCTTTGTCCGCCGCGGACTTTAGGGGCCTGAGCGGCCCCGCGCAGCGCTGGTGCACGACCAAGGCATCCAGCACCAAACTCGCCTCGCGCTCGCGGTTCTGGAGGCACCGCTCCAATAGGTGGGCGAAGCGGTCGCAGTGCTTCCGCGCGCGCTTGGCCGCGCGGCGCCGGCCCGCGGTCGACGCGTCTTCGGCCGCGAACGAATCCAACGCCTCCGCGGCCGCCGCCGCGTAGCGCTGCGCGAGCGCCCCGAAGGCGTCCGGGAAGGCGTCGTCGAAGGGCACGGCCCTCACCACGGCGCCGCCCAGGTCGTGGCCCAGGTCGTCCCAGGCGTCGCCGTCGGACACCGCGGGCCGCGCGGCCTGGAGCGAATCCACGAACCGCGACGCCAAGCCCGGGATCGCGCCCGACGCGAAGGGCGCGCACTTGACGACGGCGGCGAGGCACCGCGCCACGGACGCGCAGCGCGCCGCCGCCGCGTCGTCGCCGCACGCGCGCGCGAGCAGGCCCAGATCCGCGTCGAGGTGTCGCGCGAGTTGCACAGCCGTGTCGCGTTCCGCGAGCCTGGGCAGCAAAAGAGAGATTCAACGTCGCTTCAACATGAGTGTTCCGCGCGCGCGCGTTCCGTACACGGCATCCACGCTTCGAGACCGTTCCGAGAGATGATCGCTCGTCGAAAAATCAGCCGAAACGAGTGGAAAACGGCCGAGATATGAGCCTTTGAAGTTGGGAATTTCGCTCTCTTTTGCTGCCCTGCCGCGAGCCACGCCTTGGGCCCAAAGGCCCCGAGCGCGTCGACGAGCTCGTAGGCCGACCGCCGCGGCACGGCGGCGTCCAGCGCCCAGCCGACGACGGCGGCGGCGCGCGGCCGTGGTGCGGCCCCTGGGCCGGCGCGCCGGTGCCGGGCCGCGGCTTCCCGCCGCCCCGCCGCCCGCCGGGGGCGTGCCGCGGGCCCCGGGCGCCGGGGTCGGGCTTCATGTCGCTGCTGCCACAAGCCTGCGGCTCGTCGCCGTCGGGAGGGCCCGCGAGGGCTCTCGACCGAGAGGGTTCTTTTCAGAGGGCGCGCCTTCGAGGCGCGCCGTAGCGCGTAGCTACCCACCCTTTTTCATCACAGTCGACGTCCCGCTGAGCGACTGTGCCAGTCGCTCCTCGAGCACGCACATCGTGTCCGCCAGTCGCTGCTTCATATGGCCGGGGTACTCGCCGTCTCGAGGCCCGGGCCAAGTCCCGGAAGTCCCGGGCCGCTCGAGCTCGGCGCGGCCGCGCAGGCCTCGCCGTCGCGGCGAGTCGCGTGTACGTCGTAGCGACGGCATAAAGACGGGTAGCTTTATCGTAGACGCGCCCCCCGCGGCGTCGTCGGTCGAGGTGCCGCGGGGCGCCGGCGCGCGCGCGCGCTCACGCCGCGATCTTCTTCTCGATGTCGGGCGTGGCCTGGGCCTCGGCGGCGGCGCCGCTCGCCTCGGCGGGCTTCTCGGGCTTGAGGTGGTCCGGCAGGAGGCTCTCCCAGTCCTTGCCGTCCTTCTTCCAGCGGACGATGGAATTGTTGCGCGTGATCGATTTGTTGAGCGCGAACGACTTCCGGCTGTCGAGGCGCCACTTGAGGTTGACCATCGTGACGTTGTCGTTGAAGGCCGCGAGCCAGGCGTCCATGCACGCCTCGCCGAAGGGCCCGTTGCCGAGGAGGATGAGCGTCGTGAGGCTCGAGTTGCCCTTCAAACCCTCGGCGATCGCGGTGCTGCCCTCGCTGTCGATCTTGTTCGCCTCGAGGTTCAGCGACGTCAGCGTCTTGTTGTTCAGCAGGAGCGTCTTGATGTGCTCGCAGTCCGCGTTCGTGATGTCGTTCTGCTTAAGGATGAGCTCCGTGCACTGCGGGGCGCGCGCGTCGCGCGGCGCGCGGCGCAACACTAAAACGCGGACCGACGCGCCACCGTGTTCGACTTCATGGCCTCGGCGATCTGGCCCATGTACTCGTAGCTCTTCATTTTGAAGAGCGCGTTGTTGCCTGCGGTGCGCGCGGGCAGCGTCTCGCGGCTATGCGGCATGCATGCACCGGGACGCGGCGGCGCGCTCAAGTCGACGGTCGTCGTCGCGGCGTCATTCGCCGCGAGCTTCTCGATGAAGGCCTTCGGGGACGGCGCGCCGAACCGCACCATGGCTGCGTGTCGACGGGTGGCTCGGTGGCGTCCACAAAGTCGTGCCTCGGCGGCGAAGATTCGCGGCCGACCGCGCCGTCAACGTGCCGTGTTTGGACGACGACGCAGCCCGACATGGCCCGGGGCGTCGCGCCCGGCCGGCAGCGGCTCAGCGCCGCCGCCGTCGCGCTGGCGACGGCCCTCGCGTGCGTCGCCGTGACCCAGCGGTCCGCCGTCGTCGCGACGGTGGCGAAGCTCGTCGCCCTCGACTACGGGCAGCACACCGTGTCCGGCTCGACGACCATCGGCGTGTCCAACGCCTACGAGCGGGGGTCGCACAAGATCGGCGACGGCCTCTACCCCTGGACCGTCGTCGAGCTGCACTTGGCGACGCGCCTCGAGGCGAACCCGCCGGACAACGCCATGGAGTACGCCTGGAGTATCGGGTCCGGCGTCGACGCGTCGGACCCGGCCTTGATCGACGCGAACAGGGTCGGCGCGGGATCCGTCGAGGTCGTCTTCACGGCGCCCGGGCTGCACACGCTGACCCTGTCGTCGCGGGTGTCCGGGGAGGTGCTGGAGACCAAGACCGTCAAGGCGACGTACGTGCGCCGGGAAATCCGGACGCTCACGGACGCCGCGCGCGAGGCCTTCCTCAGCGCCCTGGAGACGACCTACAAGGTCGACCAGAAGGACGGCGAGCGGCTCTACGGGTCCAAGTACAAGTCCATGGCCTCGCTCGTCGAGCTCCACCTGCAAGGCGCCGCGTCGAAGACGTGCGACCACTGGCACGACGACGCGGGTATTTTGACGCACCACATGGGCTTCACGTTGCAGCTCGAGCAGTCTTTACAGGCCATCGACAACACGGTGGCCATGCCCTACTGGGACTACACGGCCGACGCCTACTACCTCGGCATCGACGAGATCCACAAGTCGCAGATCTTCCAGCCCGACTGGCTCGGCGCCATCTCGCCCAAGGGCGAGGACCACGTCGTCGACGAGGGCCGCTGGGCCTACACGGCGGTGCACAAGTACCCCAAGGACAGCGACCGCGACCTCATCCGCAACCCCTACGGGCTTTTGCGGAGCCCCTGGAACACGGACAAGACGCCGTTCATCACGCGGTACAAGGACGTGCTCGGCGTCCGCGGCGGCGGCTTCTCCGTGCCCGGCTGCTCGGACTTCAAGACGACCTACAAGAAGGACTGGATCGGCGACTTCTTCTCGGACCTGAACGGCGCGCTCCACGGGCCCGTGCACATCATCATCGGCGGCCAGTGGGACTTCGACGCCTCGCGCTTCAACCTGACGATGCTCGACGAGGAGAGCGGCATGCCCGAGGCGTCGGGGTTCTTCCTGCTGTCGTCCAAGTTCCTGTGGCGCCAGGGCTTCGTGCGCTGCCCCGAGTTCTGCAGCGACGACACGGGCAACCAGGACTGCGAGTGCACGTGCCCGCGCGAGATCACGGAGAACTGGAAGCCCTACGAGGTCATGCAGGCCACGGGCCAGCTCGACCTGAACAACGGCTGGCTCGAGCCCCTCTACCTGCTCTACAGCGACATGGACTGGAAGGACATGTGGCACATCCTGTGCCACGTCGGCCACGCGGGCGAGATGTTCACGTCCGCCGCGCCCTACGACCCGACGTTCTGGCCGCTGCACGGTCTGGCGGAGCGCTTCCTCTCCTACAAGCGCGTCCAGGCCGCCGCGGGCGAGACGACGCTCAACGAGACCTGGGGCTACACGCACATGGGCGCGCTCGCCTCCGACACGGACGTCGTCTGCGACTGGACCGGCGTCGAGGGCATGGGCCTGCCGACGTGCACGCGCCAGACCTGCGCGGGCCACAAGAAGGACGACCTCCTGCCCTTCGGCAACTTCCTCGACAAAAACGAGACGTACACGAACGAGGAGTTCTACCGCTTCACGGCGCCGACGAACGAGGACCTGCCCTACGCCTACGACTCGTTGAGCTCGTGGCCCGCCTGCGACGCCCAGGGCATCGACTTCACCGTCGACGACGCCGACGACGACGACGCCGACGACCTGCCGGACATGGTCGTCGACGACGCGTCGAACATGGGGCCGCTCCCGTCGAAAAAGGACGCGGGCGCGCTCCCGTCGATGATGTGAGGCTAATTTTTCGCGACTGCGACTCAGAAGCGCCGGCGGGACATGTTAACTCGCGTCGAACTCGAGGTCGTTCGCCTCGAGGAGGGACGTGAGCTCTCCTTCGAGCCGCGCGGCGCGCGCCGCGTCGCCGCGCGCGGCCGCGGCGACGAGGTCCGCGCGGAGCCGCTCCGCGGCGGCGACGGGGTCCTTCGGCTCCTCCTGCAAGGGCTTGTAGGCGGAGTTCGAGTAGCCGTCGCCGTCGCGGAGGTACGCGCCGAGGCCCCGGTCGCCGGTGTACGCGTCGGACTGCAGCTTGCCCGCGGCGGCGAGGACGATGCCGAAGCCGATGACGAGCGCCGGCGCGCTGAGCGGCACGTCCGCGTCGGCGCCGAGGTGGATGATGGTTTTTTGGCGTGCCGGGTGGAGCTGTCGATGGTTGGGTGCGAAGGCGGCGCACGAGGACAGCGCGAGCAGCGCGATCGCGAGGCTGCGAGGCGAGCTCATGTTGTGCGGTCTGGCGGACGACTAGCGCGGTAGGTGTGGGTGTTGCTCCGCTCCCACTCGGCTCACAAAGCTGCAGTCTGCGCGCAAGCCATCATGCTTCCTCCACATTTTTTTGTCCGAGCCGGCAGCGCCGCAAAATTATTGACGCTCGACGCACTGGTGGGCGTCGCGCCGCGGCATTGCGCGACGCACACGGACGCCACAGAGCGC